CGTTCAATTGTTTAATGACGTCACAGACGACGAACTACAGAAACAATGGTTGCCAGGTAAAGGTGATATTGATATGTGCACATGTGGTTATTGTTATGTTTCACTATATGGATATAATGATGCATTATCTTATATTATATTATATCAATGCAGAGCGTATGCTCAGCCTAAAATACAGTCTGACACTGCAGTTATGTTCAGTTAATTATTCCACATATTGATTGCTCTTCAAGATTTACTTAACGTACAGTCACATGTAATTAAGTGTGTCGCTCACTCACTCACTCACTCACGTATCTATTATCTGTGTTGACAATGAATAACAACCCAAACCCATACTACCATGGCTCCAGGCGAAGTACAACATCCCATCTGACAAAGCAGCCATCTGGGAATCACCATACACATCTGGCACAAGCCAACACTCCTGGGCGTGGACGCTGTAGAAAAGTGAAGAACAGTTCATCTGCCGATAGCATTTAGATACACAGTCCAGTTTGGAGGTGACCCATTCACCGGTCAGTGGAGACGTGAGGAACAAGTCCCGGAACAGAAGCGTCATCCCCAGCACGGCCGCCATTGCTGACAATCGTCTTCAGAAGGGATGATGACGGACACAATCGGGACGTCATTATATGAAGCACATGCATAATGAAAATAGAATAGTAATGTATCTTTGTAAATGTTTGAAGCGTGACTCGTTAGGTACACTGTCTGTTGTTACGTGTGTTAACTAAGACTGGTAATGAGAAACAACATTGATTTGTTGGGTATTTTAATGAAATCACGAATCGACCCGGAATGTGAATAAGTTCATTTATCTGGGAACAGAATACCTGTAACTCAGACAATATAAATTGTGTTGGGTTCATTGAGGTACAGATAAAGAAATCTGCGCAAACTGTATGTAAGATACATATCAGACTTATCGATTCATTCCTTGATGAAAACAAACAACACACAATTAATGATTATAATTAATATCGACAAAGAAAACATGGTATATCCACAACAGTTCAATCACAAAGTATCATAATTAGCCCAAGTTGACAAGATCGAGAGACATTCCAGGCGTAGGAACACATGTTGTTATTCATATTTCGTTTATCAATTCATGTTTTTGTGTCAACTTTTGTAAATGGGAACTAGCCCATGCCCGAAGAGAAATACACAAATCAGATGATTGTTTAAGCTATGCAATAGTATGCATATAGACCGACACGCCCATAACATATGAAGCCAATCAACAGAGAGAAACACAATTACAACGTTGATCGACCTGCGAATCATTCAAAAGAGGACAAGAAGGCTGTACACAATCAGAAATTTAGAGGTCAGGAAGAATGATTTCTTTTTTAAACTGACAGTCAGTAACCATCAGGTTCGAACATTAATGTCAGGAAAACAAGTGGTTGAACACCTGCAAGGGTGATGCTTTCCCTCTTTTTCTCTTTAGCAACTGTGTGTTCAACCATACATCTGGCGTCAACGATCAGAAAACAAGTGGCTGAACACCTGCAAGTGTGATTCCTTCACTCTCTTTCTCTTTAGCAACTGTGTATTCAACCATACATCTGGCGTCAACGATCAGAAAACAAGTGGCTGAACACCTGCAAGTGTGATTCCTTCACTCTTTTTCTCTTCAGCAACTGTGTGTTCAACCATATATCTGGCGTCAACGATCAGAAAACAAGTGGCTGAACACCTGCAAGTGTGATGCTTTCAATCTCTTTCTCTTCAGCAACTGTGTGTTCAACCATATATCTGGCGTCAACGATCAGAAAACAAGTGGCTGAACACCTGCAAGGGTGATGCTTTCTCTCTTTTTCTCTTCAACAACTTTGTGTTCAATCATATATCTGGCGTCAACGATCAGAAAACAAGTGGCTGAACACCTGCAAGTGTGATGCTTTTAATCTTTTTCTCTTCTGAAACTGTGTTTTCAACCATATATCTGGCGTCAACGATCAGATGACAAGTGGCTGAACACCTGCAAGTGTGATGCTGTCACTCTCTTTCTCTTCAGCAACTGTGTGTTCAACCATATATCTGGCGTCAACGATCAGAAGACAAGTGGCTGAACACCTGCAAGTGTGATGCTGTCACTCTCTTTCTCTTCAGCAACTGTGTGTTCAACCATATATCAGGCGTCAACGATCAGAAAACAAGTGGCTGAACACCTGCAAGGGTGATGCTTTCTCTCTTTTTCTCGTCAGCAACTGTGTGTTCAACCATATATCTGGCGTCAACGATCAGAAAACAAGTGGCTGAACACCTGCAAGGGTGATGCTTTCTCTCTTTTTCTCATCAGCAACTGTGTATCGTCAACGATCAGGAAAACACCATGGTCTTCGTTGTTGACTAGTTGACTGTTTCATTTTCATGATTGGCTGATACATGTTGGCGGGTTGAACTTGACACTGAACTGACTGGCATTTGTCTTGTCGCTTGTATTACATTTTGCTCTGATCGATGTCATTCATTTCGTTCGACTGTTTGGGTTTTTATTGTTAATCATTAAATATGCAGTCTGTGAAGTTATTATTGTTGTCTGAATGTATTTCTCAGAATTGACTTCAATAGTGTTTTTGCGTTTCTGGAGGTATAAACTGTTGGGCTATCGCTCAAATACTGTCAGAGGCAATGACCAGCACAGACAGTTACATAGTTCACTACATAACTGACCGATGTGACTTTAAATTTAACCCACTCACTCACTCCACATACCTACAATCATCTTGAAGGCCAATCATCATGAAGGTCACATTTCACTTCATCTTCACGTGCATGTATTAACCAGATAATCGATGGATTTATTGGAAACTCGAGGAAAAGAGGAACGCTCTTAGTGTCTGAGTGCTCCAGATTTATTAGTGAGTGAGTGGGTGAGTCTGGTTCAAATCTGAATCAGTTATATCACGGTGTGTCAGGTTGGTGTGGAGTGGAAACCACAAACTGACTTTGTTGAAACCCATCAGAATAGGAGGGGAGGTCAAAAAGTTTTCCGAACTCACTACCTCAAGTTGTGAAACGGCTGTGCCGCTAGTAGTATTGCATACACTGTTCATTCATGAGATACCTGTGGAGAGTTTCAACACCTCACAACAAACAGTATTAATATATATTTTGATAACTGGAAGAGATACCCAACTGATATCATGGATAATTTTAAAACTGAGTACATAGCTGTAGTTCATGTCCTCACACTAGAGGGCACCAACGCAAGCAGAATCCGGGAGTACAGTCTTGACCCGGCACTCACCGATTATAATCCGTTTCGAAAATTTAGGTCTCACTTGCGTGAAAGACAATTTGCCATTGATGAACTCAAGGCTACGAGGGAGGTAAAAAGTTATGAGAACTTCTCGTATCAGTAGCCTATCTCTCTCCGTTATCACAATATTCATACTGTTTTCGAGGTGTAGAAACTTTCACAGGTATCTCATGAATGATCATCTGTATCACAATACTACCGGCGGCATAGCTGTTTTCACAACTTTAGGTAGTGAGTTCTCAATGCTGACCTCCCGTCGTAGGTATGTCTACTGGCAAACCAGATATATAGTGGAGGTGATCCGTGATTGAACCTCGGAGTCCTGACGAGCCAACAGGACATAACGCTGCCTAACGCACACCAATTCCAGTTGCTCCTGCTGTTGCATCTCAGCTTGTGGCGTCTGTATTCAAGGTAAGGTTGAGCTGTTATTTCCACACGAGGAGTGTCTTTCATCTCCGTAAATCGTGGTTTGATCAGGGTCCCGATCCACAAAGTTACGAACTATCGGAACTTTATAGTTTATCACAGAATAACGAATGATGTAGTGCTGCGAACGCTTAGTGGATTGGATCCCAAGGTTTCAAAACTGAAGACGCTCAATTCTGACAATTTTGATAACATAAACAATGCCGCAATGCAATCCCTTATATTTAAGGGAAAGTTTCCAAAGAAATCAAGCTCCAAATTTGACAGTCAGACCTCGTACAGCACGTGCAAGTGGCGGTATGCAAAATGTATCATTGTCACTGGTTGGTGGCAGAAGTTGAGACGGATTTATTGTCCAAAATATCTCTGAACGCTTATCATGATTCAGATGTGATCTGCCTGTCAAAGCTATAATGTTTAGCCTTGTAACAAAACACTCAAGGAAAGTATTTCAAAGTATTTAATTCATTATGGAAGTAACAGCATTGACCATGCGACGTTGGCAACGTGCTGAACGTTTGCTTGTCCTGTGCATGGGGCTTGTTGGTACACGTCAGAATACTGTTGCACAAACACAGTATGTGTCTCAGCCTTGATAGTGATATTATTAGTTTGTTTGTTCGTTTGTTCGTTCGTTCGTTGTTTAACGCCGCACTCAGCAATATTCCAATCCAGTGAATGGGGTACAATGTCAGCGAGCCTGACCACAGTGAATGGGGTACGATGTCAGCGAGCCTGACCACTCGATTCCGTTAGTCGCCTCTTTGGCAAAGGCAAATTCTAACCAGGATCCTCAAGGGTCGATATTATAAGTACCGACCTACGTACCGTCTCGATGCGATAACTACATCACCTACCCTGACCAAACATTTGATTGCATCATAAGACCAGTATGACTTTCTGAGGTCCTGCTCTCTACCTGACCCGTGAAGATCCGGATTAGAATTGATCTTCAGTAACCCATGCTTGTCGTAAGAGGCGACAAACGGGATCGGATGTTCAGGCTCGCTGACTTGGTTGACACATGTCATCATATCCCCATTGCGTAGATTGATGCTCATGCAGTTGATCACTGGATTGTCTGGTCCAGACTCGATTAGTTACAGCTGGAATATTGCTGAGTGCGGCGTAAAACTAAACTCACTCACTGTTCTCTTCCTAAAGCCCCACGGATGTGAGCAATAAAGTTAAAGGGGTTCTCTTCAGGACACGGAATACTGTACTTCCTCTTACTCAGAAGCCGAGACATGTGCAGAAATGTACAACGTATTGAACGACAAAAAACATACACAGCAAATCAGTTGAGACGGATTTATTGTCCAAAATATCTCTGAACGCTTATCATGATTCAGATGTGATCTGCCTGTCAAAGCTATAATGTTTAGCCTTGTCTTGCAATAAAATAAATCAACTATCTCATTTCGAAGTATACTCATGGAAAGAAATAAGTGAACGAGTGTATTTTTGACGTCGCATTGTGAACATAATTGTGACATAGCGACTAATTGCAACTGAAATATTGTAGTGTTCTGCGTGTAGTGTCAAGCAATGGCGAAAAATTGTATCTCGACGTTCTCTTATTTTCAGCCATCAGTATAACTATCGAATAATAACAGAGACAAGACTTTAGCTGGAGACAATAAACGATCAGGCACTTCATGTTTTAAAACTCCTATGACATCACATCCGGTTATGAAAATGTACCCGGATGTGAAAATGTGTCCATAGTCAGATTCAACAAATATAACACGTAACAATTATATAACGGCGTATAACTTAGCTAACTACGCGTGGACTGCTTGTTCCGGGTTATTTACATGCATGGAATAACATAAATATGTATTTAGAATCAATACTACTCGCAACAAGATAGAGAACACTCAAATGCTTTTTCATATAGTCTGTCTCCCAAAATGAGTTTTCCTTACCTAGTTTTGAGTAGTGTGTAAACTTTCCCTTAAAGGGATACTTCGACATGCGAGATCATTGGTACATATTCCTTCAGGTTTGAACTCGTAGTATCCGATATCTAACAATGGTTCAGGTATCACAGAGTTAGCGCACATGGTCACCCGTACTACTCCAAGTCTCAGGGACTCGGAAATACATCGTGGTATCCGTAGTCAGAGGAAGGAGTGCAGATATTAGACCATATTACCGATATTGGATCGTATTACCCATAACAGTCGGTATTACCGACACAAGACCATACTGTCCACATTAGACAATATTACCTATATTAGATCACAGAACCGATATTAGACCATACTGCCTATATTGGATCACAGTATGTACCCACATTAGACAATATTACCTACATTTGATCACAGTACCGATATTAGATCATACTACCTATATTAGACCACAGTATGTACCCATATTAGGCCATACTGCATATATTAGACCAAGTATCCGTGTTACACCATATGACTGATCTTAGATCTACAGTTTTTATATTACAAATGAAACGGTACCTAATTACTATTATCCGACCGTGTTACCAACATGAGACCACAGTACCTATATGAGGCCACAGCATGCACATGCGACTATTTAATCACCATCAGACCATAATCCCCGATGTTGGACCATATTTACCGACATAAGTCAATAGTACCCATATCAGACCATATCACTGGCCTTAGACCATAGTACCAATATAAGACCATAGTACCCATATAAGACCATATCACTGGCCTTAGACCATAGTACCCATATAAGACCATATCACTGTCCTTAGACCATAGCAGCCATATAAGACCATAGTACCCATATAAGACCATATCACTGTCCTTAGACCATAGTACCCATATAAGACCATAGTACCCATATAAGACCATAGTACCCATATAAGACCATAGTACCATATAAGACCATATCACTGGCCTTAGACCATACTACCCATATCAGACCATAGTACCCATATCAGACCATAGTACCCATATAAGACCATAGTACCCATATAAGACCATATCACTGGCCTTAGACCGTAGTACCCATATAAGACCATAGTACCCATATAAGACCATAGTACCCATATAAGACCATAGTACCCATATAAGACCATATCACTGTCCTTAGACCATAGTACCCATATCAGACCATAGTACCCATATCAGACCATAGTACCCATATCAGACCATATCACTGGCCTTAGACCATAGTACCCATATCAGACCATAGTACCCATATAAGACCATAGCACTGGCCTTAGACCATAGTACCCATATCAGATCATAGTACCCATATCATACCATAGTACCCATATAAGACCATATCACTCGCCTTAGACCGTAGTACCTATATCAGACCATAGTACCCCTATCAGACCAGAGTACCCATATAAGACCATATCACTGGCATGATACTATAGTACCCATATCTGACTATAGTACCCATAACAGACCATACTACTGGCATGGGACTACAGTATCCATATCAGACCAGAGTACCCATATAAGATCATATCCCTAGCATGGGACTGCAGTATCCACATCATAGTACTCACAACAGACAATAGCATGAGACCACAGTACCCAACAGAGCAGAGTACCGATACCAACTACACTGCTACTGGAACAGACAGATCACGTAGCAAATCAAACAATTGCATGCTCTGTCAGACATAAGTTAGGAAACACAGTATTATATACTTCCAATGTGTGCTTATGATATGATAATGTACATAACAATTGTGACTCTAAGCCTGTACAAAAAATAATGCTTATTTTGTAACATCTTGGAATATTAAAACTTTTCATATATGAAAATATATCATTTAAAAAAATCAAAGAACAGACTGAAGGAGACAGCACAGCTCTTTTCCGTGGCGATAAATAGTTTAAACGAACATTCCGCCATAGTATAGCAGCAAAACCGGTGGTTGATATTACGAGCATGAATCACGCTTCCGGGGAATGATGACACACAGAATAAGCCAGACCCTTGCACCACTACACTAACTCAGGTCAACAGGGTCTATACTGTAGCATAGCCATTATCAATAACGTCGATCTGTGGGAGGGCCTAGGTCCAGGTGTTGCCTTTAGGTAGTCATGCAAATGGGTTCGAACCGAAACTCTGCATTCAACAATATTTTCAGCTATAGTCGAACTTCGTCTTGCCAAACCCGTAGAGACCTAAGAGATCAGAGTTATTCGGGGTTCGATACAACCAAGAAATTGATTTTCCGGAAAGGCCAAAGAACATGTTCGAAGAGACAGTGTTCGGGTCATCAGGAGAAGACTGTTCTAAATTTTGATACATGGTGCCACAAAAGCTCGAGACACATAGACACTCAACACATCCAGTACGGAAGATACGACCATAAATGATGTGAAATATAGGGGGAGGTCGCAGGGACTGAAAGTTGAGTTCGAGACAGCCGGACACTCGACACATCCAAGTTCGACTCGATCTTCGACTGTTTACTACTGTGGCCTGTAATTACAGATAAATATCTGAAAATCTGAAAATACGGTGATGTAATGAGTTAAAAACCAATGAAGATAAATGACATGACACGTGACACCCCAGACGAAAACAAACACAATCAATACACGGCTCACATCAAAGAACACAGGAAACACAAAGGAAGTCTTATACGACAGCTTAGCGTGATTTACTGATCCATAACCTTAACTTAGAAAATTATAAATATACACGTTAATAATATGTAAATAAAAACAGGGTCTATATTTGACCTCCGACAGTAGACGTCGCTTTGACGATGAAGATGACAGTGGAATGCTGATGTCATATAGCAGGTGTATGCTATGTTAAAAACCCAAACCAGGTCAATATTATTTATAATTACCTATCAAGATTCAGTATGGTTGCAATAATGTGTGTACCACACATGCGCCTGTGTTAGACATATTCTTCAGTTCATAATCAATAAAAAACGTCAATCATAGACCACAGCGAGGGGAGACAACTCGTCTATATTACAGTGTTCTTCGACAACATATAGAACAAATAACAGCCTCGAAGTGTATTTCTGTAGACTTAAACCAATAGCTGTTGTTGAACGAGACCTTAGTTGAATGTAAAGCACACACCCTAGATGGTTTAAGTTTCGGTGTTTGGCGAAACTCGCTTAATCCTTACTGGACTGCTCCAACTGAAAATGTCCAAATCGAGAACTGAGTTATGTCCCTTTAATTACACGGATGGAGAAGCAGACTGAACTTGCATTACTGAATATGAAACTAACGGTGGTTTGTCCTCCTTTTGTTACTCATGATTCTTTTTGTTGTTGTTTTAAAAAATGATTCAAACTCAACCTTAACTGGTAGGTCGATGGGTAGATTATATATCATGTTAACTTCATAGCAGTACTTCAACTGTTGCGGGTGGAATTGATTACAATCTTGATAACAATCGTTACCTGTGTAAAATTACTTTTCACATTTAAAATTTCACTTTTAAAATTATATTTTAAAGTTGTGCGATGATGTGAAGATGAAGATTCAAACAAAACAGAATATATACAGGTGAGAAGTGACAGAACTGATAACGCACAAGCAGACAAAATCCCATTTACCTTGAAGTTTACAATCACACTTGGTTTCATTTACGATGTTTTTTCCAACAATTCAAGTGGTGGGATAAAGATAATTAAGTACAGAAATTCAAATTTGAAATATATTATGTAGTTCCTATCACGATTGGACATAATTCCTTTTTTCTATTATTTAATATACACCTCAGCAAGCTTAAGATATATTGTATTTTAAATAATTTATTCACACTGACAACGACGGTAAATTAGTATATCTTTTAACATTTTACTTATAGATACGAAGTACAATCCCTATGCTCTCCATTTCGTTAACTTTTGTTACGTAAAATAATCCTTTAAATGGTCTGGCTAAAACATACGCAACGTGTAACACATGTGACCAGACTATACATAGCACTTGCCCCAAGTGTAAACAATTGCAATATATCTTTGGTGCAGCTTCTATTCTACTGGCCGAGGAAAGGATGAGTCAGTTTATCCAAACGAAGACACCACCAAGAGATCGAGAAGCACGGTTTGTACGTGCACGTAAACGCAGGTGGGAATCTATTTACTGACCCGTATGAATGAACGCCCCGCCCCTCCTCATGCATATTCATCAAGTCAGTTCACACGGCGTAGAAGTTATAGAAACGCCCATAAATAATTATTCATTTGCGGCAAGACAATAACAATTGTACATGGTGTATCAATAAATCAACACTTGAAAATAATCAAACCTAAGTCAAATAAATATATTAAATCTGTACCACTTCCTCATTGTAAATGTAAACATTTATCATAAATCGGTTTTGAAAATATATCCCACGAGATGAAATACCAGTGTCTTGTGACTGGGAGTTAAAGGGGTACTTTGTTTTTCACGAAAGACAGGGTCTTGTAGTATGAGTCGTCAAAAGACCGCACACCCAGGTATTCGTCACGTGTTCTGTTGTAATGCAGTTCCTCCATACAATCCAAGGCATATGGCTGGTAGTCCCAGTAAAACTTGTTTGTGAACAGTTCTGGCCTTGACCTTAATAGCGGAAGGTCGCCGATTCCAAATATACAAATTAGGCGCACGCGCTGTCCTTCACATGGCCAGTCAAAAGGCTCGTTCCCCCAGTTTTTAAATCGTGCAAGGAATGGTTTTATCAGTCGGTCAGTTTCTGGATCCCCTGGAAAAGACGAAATAAAATTGTGAAATATGATAACTGCGATAAGAAAATCTAATAGTTTTTCACGATAAAATGGTACACGAGAGAAGAAAATCTTCGATTACATGTATATTTATCTAAAAAGCATAGGACGTTACCCCTGTGATCCAGCATTATTACTATAAATTTAGTTCGTCTAAATAATGAGACAAATGCACGATTTTCATGTTGAAGAGTAAATTCTGCTGTTAAACTAAAAATGTAAAACAAACAACATTAGAGCTTATTTATCAAATAATAAATAACCACAGCCATGGCAGACTAGTAAAGGGGAAAATATTGATGCCTATTTCTGAATTTAGAGGATCGCTGAGTTTGTATAAACTCATTCTGCATATTGTTTTAATCACTATCACTCTGTACATCAACCTACTCTGCTCAAATCACTAATTAGCAATCCAATGTATATCAACCTTGTCAATTGTATATACACACTATGCAGCTATGTATATATTCTCCATGTTACAACTCTATGTATCACTTGCTTAATAACGGTGTTAGTACCTACACCGAAACGTCGCACTCATTGCAATGAAGAAGTTGACTATCCATAGAACTTGGTTTTCCTTCATATTCCTACGCCTTCATCAAATAATTTTTCAACTTGTGTCTGAACCTAGCTTGATGGTGGATAAAATGAAGGTGATCTACGGGTATCATAATTGTGGTTTCGATCTGTTTTTAAGTGCAGTAACTTTTTGATTACGAGTTCTTTCCTCATCAAATCCTGATTTTTTCTATTTTTCCCGCTGTGCATTTTGGTGAGGGTTTAGCTGAACCATTCAAGGGTCAGATTCCATCTACTTAAGAATCTTTTATAATGAAAGTAAAATATTTATAATAGTTTAGGATTTTAATAGTGTTGTTTCGTACAACTGAACCCTTTACCAGCACACCAGGATGTACACATGGGGGACTGTGGGGTAGCCTAATGGTTAGAGTGAACCTCGTCACGCTGAAGACCCGGGTTCGATTCCCCACATGCGTACAGCGTGTGAAACCCCTTTCTGGTGTCCCCGGCAGTGATATAGCTGGAATATTGCTAAAAGCGGCGTAAAGCTAAACTCACACACCCTGTACACATGAGTACTGTAAGCAGGACAGGTTAACCCACAATCGAACACACAGGCAACTCACAGGGTTACATTTAGCTAGTCCTTGACTGTGATTTTACAGTCATCTGATGTGTTCATTTACAGCAAAAACATAAATGAGAATTAAAAAAATGATATAAATAAGATATTTAATTCAGCACATTTTTATGTGAATCACCACAAACCTATTGCAGCAGCGACTGGATCTTTCAGAAAACATAACAGGGAGATAACTCTTGCAGGTATAGCTACTGCGTATCGCCATTGTACACACCGACCATGACAAATTCCATAGTATGTTGTTTCCACCATGACTGAGTGAGTGAGCTGGATTTTATGTCGCTTTAAACAGTATTCCAGTTATAACGGTGTTAGCTTAATGTTGGAACAGACCCCGAGGTGATGCAGCACTCGGATGCTTATCACATACCGAAACCCACGGAAACGAGTATGACACTCATACCTCATATAATCAGGGCGGACCGGGATTCGAACCTACAATTATAGGTTCCTGGTGGAACAAAGGGATGCAACCCTGCACTGAAAACTGGGCCACCTATGCCCACTATTAATTACAGGATAAACTTGATTATTGATAGAAATATCCAAACAAATAACTGCATAAATGTCGGGGTGTTCCACTCAGTCTGCCATCGCTTTCAATAAAACTTAGATTCCACATGTATAGATGAAAAAAATAACACCTTGAGGATTTTTGACAGAATTTCTACTATTCTGTCAAATATTGATCTTGGGGAAGCATAATCTACCGGTAACATTTCTTACGTGTTAGGTTCTAGCCATACAAACATGTGGTTTGTGCGTGACAGGCGACTCAAGAATCGTGTTTCTCTTAAAGGAGTGTGCAGGATGTGTCTGTGAATAATGATTAATAATTACGATTCTAGGTTTGAGTGCACCATCCTGTTACCACAATTAACAGTATGTTATTGTCTACATCCCATATTCCAGTTGTGGGTCGAACCCAAACAATACTGTACCTAAATATGCCCCTGGTACACGAAGATGAGCGTTGTGATTGAGCGAGGTGAAAAACGTCTCGTCGGGCACATCGACATTTTTTACCCAAGCCAGGAAGTCCTGTGCCGTCTTGTTGTGCAGGACGTAGTCCACGAAGCCCCTGTTGACCACGATGTGCACGGACCCTTTCACCGGGGTGATTCCGTGTGGAGGGTCACCTGCCTTCTCAAACCTCCCTCTGTTGGCTCTGAAATATGACATAGATCTTAGCATCAGAATATTATTATGTGTCTTGCAGATCACGGAGCATATATTCTTACACTTCATAGTCTATATACCCATTCCCCTTTCAGCTACCCGTGGAGCTCCGGGTTAGAATTGGTCTTCAGCAACCCATGCTTGTCTCCCCGTGGACATCCGGGTTAGAATTGGTCTTCAGCAACCCATGTTTTTCTACCCGTGGAGCTCCGGGTTAGAATTGGTCTTCAGCAACCCATGCTTGTCTCCCCGTGGAGCTCCGGGTTAGAATTGGTCTTCAGCAACCCATGCTTGCCTCCCCGTGGAGCTCCGGGTTAGAATTGGTCTTCAGCAACCCATGCTTGCCTCCCCGTGGAGCTCCGGGTTAGAATTGGTCTTCAGCAACCCATGCTTGTCTCCCCGTGGACATCCGGGTTAGAATTGGTCTTCAGCAACCCATGTTTTTCTACCCGTGGACATCCGGGTTAGAATTGGTCTTCAGCAACCCATGTTTTTCTACCCGTGGACATCCGGGTTAGAATTGGTCTTCAGCAACCCATGTTTTTCTACCCGTGGACATCCGGGTTAGAATTGGTCTTCAGCAACCCATGCTTGTCTCCCCGTGGAGCTCCGGGTTAGAATTGGTCTTCAGCAACCCATGCTTGCCTCCCCGTGGAGATCCGGGTTAGAATTGGTCTTCAGCAACCCATGCTTGTCTCCCCGTGGAGCTCCGGGTTAGAATTGGTCTTCAGCAACCCATGCTTTTCTACCCGTGGACATCCGGGTTAGAATTGGTCTTCAGCAACCCATGTTTTTCTACCCGTGGACATCCGGGTTAGAATTGGTCTTCAGCAACCCATGCTTGTCTCCCCGTGGACATCCGGGTTAGAATTGGTCTTCAGCAACCCATGTTTTTCTACCCGTGGACATCCGGGTTAGAATTGGTCTTCAGCAACCCATGCTTGTCTCCCCGTGGACATCCGGGTTAGAATTGGTCTTCAGCAACCCATGTTTTTCTACCCGTGGACATCCGGGTTAGAATTGATCTTCAGTAACCCATGCTTTTCTACCCGTGGACATCCGGGTTAGAATTGATCTTCAGTAACCCATGCTTGTCGTAAGAGGCGACTAATGGGATCGGGTGGTCAGGCTCGCTGACTTGGTTGACACATGTCATCGTATCCCAATTGCGTAGATCGGTGCTTATAATGTCGACTACCGGATTGTCTGGTCCAGACTCGGTTCTTTATGGCTTTAATATTGCTGAGTGCGGTATTATACAACAAACAAACCACCAACAAACAAACAAACAAACAGCTTCTGAAATAAAACGACTTGATGGTTCCTTGATAACAGCGGTTCTCAATCGTATTCTCATATTCAACTACATCTCGGGTACTGTATGTGAGCTAAAGTACAGTGTTAGGGGGTTTATACACAGAACTGAAGTTAAGCAAGTGTTTTGTTTACTTAAGCGATGGACAACTGTACCTGTTCCTCAGTTAGCCCAAGTTTGTACATAACATATGTGAACCATAGAGAATGTGTATGTGTTGGTCTGTGTGTAAGGTATCTTCCCATAAGACAGACCTCCCAAAACACAGACCGCTTGAAACAACACATTTTATGGTTGGTTGCATAAGGCTTAATTAAGCTGTACCCTTGAAAATAATGGTATGTGCCCAGATAAAAAAGGCAACATTAAGTATTAACTATAGTTTTATCAATTCATGTAATCAATTATGATTTTTAAATTAAGACATTTTGCATCAACATATATGTACATCTACATATATTTGCCAGATCACATTTACTTGTGAATATTATCAAAAATAATAATTGATACACATGGACCTATCAAACATATGAGACCAAGCACCATATTATTTTACAACACGTTTGTCAGTGAACAGGTAAGAAAGTCACTTGAACATCATCATGTTTTCCTTTCACCTTGTTCTTGGCATACAGGAAGCCACCTGTAGAAGGGTGATCGGAAAAAGTCATAGGAAAAAAGTCATGGAAAAAAGGTCAATGTGAAAAATAACTATTAGAAAATATTCTGTTCTCCAGTTATATACTTTGTTTATACTGAATTTTATAAATACTATTTCACTTTCATCTTCAAACAATCTTAAGTACTAAAACATCCTGTTCTCCAGTTATTTGCAGGAACTAATTCAACAACGATTATAAAACGTCGTATTCTCCAGTTATTTCTACTTGCATGATCTTGAGTGTTTTCTTTATGAACATGATGTAACTGGCCTCGAACATGTAAATAAGCTTATTCAGGTGAGCTTATGCATAGTGTGAAGTTACATGTCGGTGAAGAACTTCATTTTTTATTAGTTCTGTAAATATCCTACTATTGAAAAAATAGGTCCATCTGTCTTCCCACGCCTATTTCCGTGAAGGGCTGACAGCTACAATATATGTCGTATAGTTGTCGTAAAAGGGGCACTGTTCTAGAGCAACTCTCTGGGTCTGGCTATAAATATTGCTAATGCTTTTTCCTGTCGGTACCCGGATGATATCCCTGAATTCTCAACTGATTCGCGACTCTGCTGCGCCACCCGTAAGCGCAGATGATAGCATAAGGACGTACCCATTCATTGATCAGTTACACAATATATTCTCTCTTGTGGGCGACGCTGAGCCCAAGGGGGGCGATGTTAGTTCCTGGCTGATCCGTGGAGTATTTGTCTTATATCACGGGGTGTTGCCCGCAGTGCCGTAGTGATGCACATCAGACGTTTTGTAATTTGGTAAATCCCACGAATCATGGTGTTGGCACACCCTGAAACCCCATTAGGTAAATGTGGAATTCGAACCCACCGCCAACACATTCTGACACGACCAAGGGACGCAACTCTGTTTTGACTACCATGGACCCCTTGCTCCTGAATACGAAAATCGTTATTTGTGTGACACTAATGCAATTACACCCTAGAAAAGAGCTAACTTAGTAGCAGCTGTAAGAACCGATTTAGATCACGCTCGGGAGCTTTCTAATCCTGACGCTTACGGCAAAAAAACCACATTTCAAATGAGTCCGACTTTATAGTCTCTTAATCTTTCAACCTGTTTAATAGAAATTTCCTCGGAGTCGAACGATAACAAGGTCGACATAATTTATTGATAACAATGTGGTTTAATGTGGTATTGACGTCTCCGTGCAGATCTGTACACGGCTGTCAAGCAGGACTGAACATAGGGAATATTATATTGACTCATTTGTATGTCAGGTAATTGAGTGAGTATGATTTTATGCCGCTTCTACCAATATTCCAGCAAAATAACGGCTGGAGACACCAGAAATGGGTTTCACACATCATGTAGGGAATCGAACCCTGGTCTTCGGCATGACGAACAAACGCTTTTACCACTTGGCTATCCCTGCCCGTATGTCAGGGCACGCATTTACCTGTAGTCCCATCGCTTTTCATTGGCCTCGGTTTAATTGGCTTGCGTTATGTGTTCTCTGTTCATTATTAAAAGATCACAGGATCCATCTCATGCTTGCTGCCATTAACCCTTTACAAGCCAAGAAACGAACAATCAGCGTCATTCAGAGTTTCTTGACGTAATTATCCAAACGACTCTGTTACGGTTCGGTAATAATGTACTTATCGATAATTTAAGTCTCTTTTGTCCTTAAAGCTTCACAATATTACTCTTTTCAAAATCGTGTTTTAAGTAGCATGACGTACGCACAAAAGGACATTCGACGGGGAGTGGAGTCTGCAACTTCGTGCAATGAAGAAGGGAGTTCATTCTCGTGCGAGTCTGGTACATACATGTAAGCTCGAACTGATGCAGGTTGTAGAGAAACTCACATCGGGCTTGAAATATGCGTCATTTTGGGCTTTTATCTACCACGAAACAGACGTATGTTCTCACATGGGTCCAATGTGTGAAGCCCATTTCTGGTGTCACTCCCAGATTAACGCTTTGTCTCTGAATAGAATTATACCTTTTAAATATAACAGGAGCCACTAACCTACCGAGACACCGTGCCTGAAATACGATATGTGCATCTGTAAACATAGGAACATGCTATGATACAGGCTATCATGCGTACAGTGCCGTAGGTGGAAAAACTGCAGTCATTATCAGCATGCGATTGTTAAGCAATCTGTTTACTTTCTAAAAAGCAGATTTCTTAAACGCGGAAAGAAACATGTTTTAATCATTACCCAAAGGGTTTTCTTTGAGGCAGACAGTACCAACGCTATTTATTGCAAATATATCATACTATTAACACGGGGGAAACGAGCAAAGTTTTACAAACATGTTATCACATTACATGGCACATATTAAGAACTGAAGACAGTGAACGAGGGGAATATTGCAACTAACAGTCCATGTTCCTGCACTGTCCAAGGGGCAAGGACAAAGGGTCGCCTAGTGGTCAAAGCGTTCGCAGTGGGTACAATGTGTGAAGCCCATTTCTGATGTCAACGCGCTGTCATATTGCTGGAGCATTGCTAAAAGCGGCGTAAAACTTAACTCACTCAAACGGATAACGCACATCGGACAAATGTCTCTTTGGTGAGTAGGTCAGAGACTGAGCCAGTGAACGTTGCTTTAAACCGTATCAGCACTAATGTAGATGTTTCCGGCTACAAAATACATGTATCAAATATATCCTTTCGAATATAAGTGATGGTCACTAAAACTTCAGGCCCTTATCACAGTAAACAGTAAAAACTGACATTCTTTAAAATTTAGATCTTATCATATACCTTAAGTTACTTCAGATATGCTAAAACAACATGGTTAGAAACGGCGTCAGGAAAACAAATGAAAGACGTTGATACCCTTATCTGTGTCGACAGCTGTTTATCATCCACCCTTATCAAGCTACACGTACATTCGTGGCATACTAGCAACTGGTCATATGCTCTTACTAAACTTCACAAAGGTCGTGGGGTAGCCTCGTGGTTAAAGCGTTCGCTCGTCACGCCGCGGGGTTCGATTCCCCACATGGATACACTGTGTAAAGCC